AAACTGCCCTCTCAAAATATCAGCTGAATCACAGCGGTTTGAGTTGCTATAGGTTATCTTTTTACATATCGGAACGAAATTATAGCCAGCCTTAGTAGCATTAGTAGCAAAACAATTCATATTCTGTACTATGTGGCAAACGACAACAGGCGGAGTATTCAACAAATTACTTGCACTTGAATTGTTAGCGATTTTACACGAACTCACATTCTCTAGTAGCTTCCGTCTAACATTTCCCTCCCTCCTGTTTGTTCTCATACTTGCGCCGAAAAGTGAACGGCAAACATATCGTGAAACCAGTTGTCATACTCTGCGGTAAGCAGCCTCAGACAAAAACTCACTTTGTGCAAGATCTATTGTCTATGATGACGAAACTAGAGTGAAACACAGTCTTTAGCATATTATGCATATTTGTTTGCAATACTTTCCCCTCTACACAACCTGAGATGCGTGACTGTGAAGTCGATACTTTGTAATCATTCCTTTGTTTTCTATCTTCGTTTAATCCTTTAAGGAGACCTGTCAGTGCTGAGTTTTTTGGGTGTCAGTTGGGTGATAGGACCATGAGTTTGAAGCCTTATCGTCGTCTATATAAGGCTGTCAGGTTCACTCCTATGTTTCATCAGTCTTTCATAGCTCTTTCGTCACTCTTGCTCTTGAAGTCCAGTTTCCACGGAACGAGTAAAATGCCAAGTCGAAAGCACGTGAACGCGCTGGTCGCCGAAGAGAAGCTCCAGTGAAGGACATCCCACAAAACCCTTATAAACTACATCGAACCCGTGCGGAGGTGCCTGAAGAGGTCGACTATCTGCTAGACAGTGACAAGATTGCAAAGGTGATGAAAGTTTTGAGCAAGCATGTACTGGTCCATTTCTGAGATAAAGTCCAGGTGGCCGATGCGTACTGTCTTGGAAATCATGGAATGATGACAAGGCTGCCTTCGGTACCTGCAGCGAATCTAAATGGTGTTCTATGAGCGTTTTTGCATCAAAAACTGAACGACAAGGATAAACAGCTGTTAAGGTTTTTTTTAGCTGTTGACCAAGGTTGGTGGCAAGTAACGACAAGCCAACGTTTCGGCGGACCGTCCGCCTTCTTCAGGGCTTCCTGAAAAATGAGACTTTAAGAACTGCCGACTCAAACGCCGTATTTGGCAATGGATTTAGTTTGACTATGTGTTGGTTTGTCGTTACTGGCTACCAACCTTGGTCAACAGCTTGAAAAACTGCATTACAATTGATCACAATGCCAAGGTTTATCGACATTCGAGCACGAAGTTGTTAAGGTCTTTGCAGCATTTAGATAGTAATAAATTGAATTCAATAGACTGCAAATATTTACTGCATAGTCTCGCAATATTTGAGCTCACGGGAAACACTTCTAGATCATTTTGAAGGCAGATTCCCAACTTTGGGGTATACATCGTTCTTGACTTCCTGGATGAGCTGAGTTTCTGAAACTGTGCTTTGCCTTCTGAAATAATGACTCGCTTTTCTGGACATGGAAGCTGTTGTTTGGGCGGAAAGCGAAAGCCGCCCCTTGGTAGACCGATTGGCTGATGGAGCCGATGATCCGACTGCCCCGAGAAGGGTGGGTGGGTTTCCATTCCCATACGGACTCCACGAGCTAATCGCTCTCTAGATGTCGGGCTTTCGCTGCCTGCTTTTAACAGCAGTTTCCACGTCCGGTAAAGATCAACATCTTCACTGCAAAGCACAGTTCTGGACTCAGCTCCGTCAGAGAATCGCGAACGATGAATAATTCAATGTCACCGATCTGTTGAGCCACTGTCTTAACCCATTGACGACGATGTGGACCACCGGTGGCCCACACCCCTTGCAGAATCATATCCTTTCCGGATCTAGTCTTTTCTCCACAATTCAGTTTTTTTTTCAATTTTTTGCTCTCTTGGAACTTGTAGACTTCGTCGTCCAAGAAGATAATTATAGTTGTTTACAAAACAACTTTACATTTCGCAAACAGACACAAAACTTTTCCATGCCGAGATTGTTGTGCAAAATGGCGTCGTCCCACAACGCCGCCATGCAAAATTAGACGTCTTCGTCAATGCATTAAGGCTGGGTTCATACTGATCCCAATGTTCTGGAACTGTTCCCGCACTGTGCTAGAACTGTTCCGGAACGGTACTGCATGCTGCAACCGCCCCGCACGCGTTCTGAACGGCGGGAGTTGGAGAATCTTGACCGTTTTCAACGGTATCTCTTCTAGATTCCTCTCATTCTGGCCTTATTTCTCTACCCCGCTTCTCCTAGTGATGAGAAAAGCTGCGAACTTGAAGAGTGGTTGAGGAATGAGCGTTGTTCTTTTATAGTTACCCGGAACATGCACACGAAAGAGAATAGCTTCTTTTTCAACTCCGCTTCAAGTTCGCAGCTTTTCTCATCACTGGGAGAAGCGGGTGGAGGAGAGAACGGAGAAGCAACGATACGGAAAAAGGAAAGGGGCTGGGAATGCCCAAAAACGAAATCCATCAGGAAACAAGAGCAAAATTCCCATTTCCGCATTTTCAGAATGTTCGCATGTTTTAATCCGAGACAGATGCCCGCGGAAACTACGCAGCGACTTCCTGAAACAAATAAAGTAGGATTGAGCGAAAAGAAAACGAACCAATGGACAAGCGCAAGAGCAGACATTTTGTCGGATACGCAGAGCAGAAAAGCGCTTTCGACCCCGCTTCAGTTCGAAGTTCTGCTGATCAAAAAGGGAAGCGGGGTACAGGAATAAAGCCAAAATGGGAGGAATCTGGAAGAAAAATTGGAAACGGTCAAAATTCTCCAACTCCCGCGGTTTAAAACGCGTGCGGGGCGGTTGCAGCGCATGCAGCACAGTTCCGGAACAGTTCCAGCACAGTGCGAGAACTGTGCGGGAACAGTTCCGGAACATAGGAATCAGTATGAACCAGTGGCGTACCGAGGGGGTGGGCGCCCCCCCCCCCCCGAGAATGGGTCGTGAAATTTTTGAAAGTTACTTATATATGGGTTATAAAAATGTGCAAATGACTTGTTTATACTTGTAAATAATCAAAATAATTTTTTAATTTTTTTAAAAATTCAATTTAGCCTTATAAAAAATATTTTTTCGGGGCGTGGCTGACGCCACGCCCGCTTTTTTCAGATTTTAGGGGTTGGGGACCCACAAAAATTTTGAGAAGCACCTCTAACATTTTTCGGAGTGCGTGGCTAACGCCACGCACCTTCATCAGAAAAAAATTTTTTTCGCGCCCCCCTCCCCCGAGCCCAAATCCTGGGTACGCCACTGGTATGAACCCAGCCTAAATCACACGTTCATGATTTCGTTCCAAGAACTCTCTCCATAACCCTTCTCCCGGGCACTAAAGATATTGAAGTAAAGAAACAACTTTTCATGCCCCACAATAAGACAGTACACCCAGACACCTTTGAAAAGGCCACTTCGACTAACTGTCCCTTCCTTGTTCGTAAAGCTGATAAGTTCAGCGCATGCTTTTTATTGAAACTCGTTTGATTACCCTCAGCGATTATCTTTGCGTATCGGTTTTTGCACCATGAACACAAGTGCACGAGTAGAAGTTATTGACACGCCTTGCACTTTTTTTGATGTTTGGTCGGCGCGTGTTAGATAGGAACCATTATAAAAAATTGCAAGCAATGCTGATATCAGTAAATGACTTTTGTAGGGACCTTTCGGATCGATAATATGATAGGAAGTGTCTGATCGGCTGATCTTTTGAAGAATGCATCATTACAGCATCTGCGAATATGTAACTGCCTAAGCCGCTACTTACTTTTTAGTTCTCACGGAGACACACTAAATTTAGGAAGTAGCGGGAAGGCAAGATAATCTGCACTCGAGACCCATGCAAATTTGCATCGACTTCCAGAGTATTTTTCCAAACAAGGGAAAGAGAAGAACACCGAGAAACATTTATTACGATTATTTTTATAACTAAAACCTACTATGTCGCTCGCTACAGCCACAAAATTAACGCTAAAATCTAAGTTCTACTATGACTGTAGGAACATAAGAAGACCAACCATGAGCCAGTGAACTCTACCCTATCAATTGCCCTATTAAATAGGAAACAACTCTACAAAAAATGCAGTGCACAGACAAAAATCTGAACTAGAAAGTCGCAGGAGCAGCTGCAGACGCTCCTACACAACGGAAAGAGAGTACTGCCATGAGGAGACTGTTGTAATATTTGCAAGATCTTTTAGGAAGTTGAGATGTTGCGGCCACAAAACAAGATCTAGAATGATAAACTTTAAACAAAAATAGACATCACATTCAAATCATTTTCTAGTCAGACATCTTACAATCCAGTTTTCGCTTGCATAGAGGTCAATTTATACCAAACTACTCTTTACAAATTTTTGCAATGCGATACGAGTGGTATGTCGAAGGAGGAAACAGCGTTTAGTTAGGCTCTTAACTTGTGAAGCGATTCAGAAAAGCGCGCTAAATGACGGGCATTTGACACTTAGAGTTGCGTAAGCAAAAATCTGCGTTTGACAACAGAATACTTGCATATCATAAAGAAACCCCTCCCCATGCGTTACCAAAGGTAGGTGCCAGAGTAAGCGAATATTTTGTTCAAGTTGGGGTCCCGCGCAGAACTGGCGTTAATCATTGTGGCACAACGCCAAGTTGGCATTATGCCACAATGATTAGTGATGCCAGTTCTGCGCGGGACCCCAACTTGAACAAAATATTCGCTTACTCTGGCACCTACCAAAATGCAAAAGAACAAATTCACTGCAAACTTCATCGCATAAGCCGCATTCAATCTTTTCAAGCGGATGTCAATCGTCAAATGCCAAGTCATTTAGTGCGCCAAAAGGCGACTATGCGGTCTGCCTTTGACCATACTAAAGCAGATTCAAATTAAAACCTCAGACCTTCCATGCAGATAAAAAAAACTTGACCGAGGCGAATCTGACAGTCTCAGACTACTACAGCACTACGCGTGAAAAGAGGAAAAATGAGAAATATCACTTACTTTACTTGACGTTCAGACTCTTTTTGCATGTCTCAACAATGTGATGTGGTTGAGGAAGAGCAGCATCTTCAAGATGTTGGGCATATGGCATGGGTACATCGACTCCTGTGACGCGAAGAATTGGAGCGTCCAAATAATCCCAAGCTGGTGATTCGTTCACTTGTGCGCAAATCTCAGCTCCGATACCTGGAATACTGATGAAAGTGTCATCTAAAAAAGCAAACGCGCTTCAAAAATAGATTTCAAGAAGTACCAGCGAATGGCCATCCTTGTTCTACAGTCACCAAATGATGAGTTTTCATGATCGACTGTTTTATCGTTTCGAAATCAAGAGGACGTAAAGTGCGGAGATTGATAACCTGATAGCAACTCGTTGAAAAAAATTTAAAACAGTAGAAAAATAGAAATCAAAACATAACTAGCAATAAACTAATAAAAAAAGCTTCTAACACATACTTCAGCCTTGATTCCTGCAGATTCAAGTTCTTTGGCTGCCGCTAGTGATAATTCCACACCTTTCGAAAACGTAACGATTGTAACGTGATCTCCGGGCCTTTAGATGAAGTTATACAAGTGGGACTAGTTTTGCGAACCTATAGCCAACCTCTCAATCTTGCATTTTCCGATCGGTAACACAAAGTCGTCTTTTTTCATTTCCTCAGTGACCGGGAATGAATGACCATAGAGAATCTCGTTTTCCAGAAACACAACTGCAAATATCAAGAAATGCGGGAGGTGATGCCTTCTATTCGAGAATCAACTGGTGATTTCTTCAAGCCTATTGAATTGAAAACCCACTGGATTCATTTGGCAGCTAAACGCTTGCACTAGCCGTAAGGAAATAATATTTGTGAAAGCTTTTGAATTTGCATATTTGAATCTGAGGAGTCATTTTGACAATACTGTTAAGCCATCAACAATCCTTGCATATGAAGAAAATGTAATCCCTCAATACTTGCCCGCGCAAGCATCGCATTCCCTCATTGCCAGCCATCGTCTACGAATCATGTTTGATATCGATTGAGGCAATGAATGAAAAAGCAGTGACACACTCGTGCGCAAAAGAATATTTTATATTAGACCAAAATACGAAAATATTGCATCGAATACTCGTCCTACCAACTTGGAGTCGTCCTCACCATTCAACTTAAGTTGTAATGCAAATAAAATCAAAATCAAATCAACCTTCGACTGTTCCTTTTTCAAGTATTTGGCTAATAAAGGAGACAAAAGCTTGGTGAGATACAATAAAGATCAAATGCCACCATTTGGCAAAGAGAATGGTACCAACGACACAGTCGCCGTGATCGGTACAGCTACCGGCTCAACTATGTGCTCGTTTTTCAAAGGTAAAAAAGGTTTTAGTACGCTCTGCATGCATGCGCTGATCGTCTACTTTAATCGAAGGAGCTCTTTGATACGTTACACTTTTGAAGTAACTTGGAAAAGACGAAACAGTGCTTCATTCCTTCCAGATTCCCTACTATCGTTGCCGTTGCCTAAGGGCTAAGTAGAAGGCGCGGCTTGGCCAGAGGCCAGAATAGCACCTTCTACCAATCATAGCGCACAAAACTGCGCTACTCGTCCCCCAAACAAGGATGCATTGTTCATTATGCAAAATTCAAGCAAGCGTACTCCTAATCCGTTCTCCATTCAAATTAGTACTAAGCTTTAGAAGAACAATCGAACATACAACGAAAACATCGCCGTATCATTTCACCCTCTAAATGATATGAAAAGTAATTGAAAAGTCCAATTCCAATCAATCTATATGTTCGATAAGACAGAATAATGAGCTATAGGCTGTACCAACCAGCATCGGTCATGCGACGTCGCGCTAAGTCAACTTCTTACCTGGGTTATCATCTCTGATAGCGGCTTTCAAAAGACCTTTTGCATCTTCCGCACTGTAAGGAGCAATGACCTAAACCAGACAGTATTAGGAATAATGAGATATGACGAATGATGAATGGGTATTGCAAGAAAATACAGTGTAAGAGCGCAGATGAGCTATGTTGCTGTAAGGCGGAAGTAAACACCCAATTCGATTTTCTAGGAAATTTATAGCGAGGTGGCTGATTCCGCACCCAATCCAAATTATTTGTATGATGTAGATGTAGATCAGAATTTTATCCGACTAATTGTGTTTTTTTCTTGATGATACTTACCACGTCAAGATTCTAGAAAGTCATTTCTGATATGCCAAAAAATGGTTTGTCCTCGCCGCTGATAGCACATATCGTCAAAAGAAAAGCTGACCCAAGCAAATATTTGCGAAACTTTTCTTTCCAAAGTATGCTCTTGTTCTACATACAACATGTCTGTGTAAACATACGCGATAGACGAAACAGTACCTTTAATCCTGGACAATGGGCAAACCAAGCTGAAAAGTCCTGGGAATGTTGAGCAGCCACACCAGCAGCAGCTCCGTTACAGCCACGAAAAACAATAGGACATGGAACCTGAGAAAGAAAATATTGAAAATCGATTCAGAAACTCGAATTTGTAGATAAGGAAGATCATTTTTACATTAAAAATCACGACTACATACCCGTCCAGCTGACATGTAGTACGTCTTGGCAGCAGAATTGATGATCTGATCTATAGCTTGCATAGAAAAGTTAAAAGTCATGAATTCACAGATAGGACGAAGACCGGCGAACGCAGCTCCAACAGCCAGTCCTAGAAAAAATCTTACTAGAGTGAGAAAGAGAAAGATTGGACATTTTTGATTATGGACACTTCATCGAAGAGGAAAGGGGCTGGAGTACAGTATAGAAAGGTTGACGGTGTGAAAAGGAATGATGGTAAAAATCAGTTTTTTTGAAAACTCATACAAGAATTTGTAAATGATCAGCATGGATAGAAAACGGGTCTTGCATGTTAAAATCCACGCTTTCAGTGTGTTAAACGATAAGAACCTACTCACTATGTTACGAATGGATTTCGCGAAAAAAAAACGTAACCAAGGAAATCTCTAACATAAAACATTAAAAGCATGGGGAAAAGTCCAAGTAACATGGCGTACCGGTAAAGCCCATTTCAGTGATAGGCGTGTCAACGATACGTTCGTCACCATATCTCTTCCACAATCCTTTCGATATCTAAGGTGGGTAAATTACATGGAGCTTTAACTGGACTGAGAATCTAGCGAACAATTTGAACAGGAGCAGACTCCGTTTTCACTGTTAAAGTGGGATTACTGCTTGTCTTGTATGTCGACGACTACATACTTGCAAATAAATTTGAAGCAAGCGAAGTGAAGCAGAATCAAAAGCCACCAGTGATTTACGAATCAGAAATCAGGGTCCAAACTTGGGTATCAGTATGGGTAATGACTAGTATATTCAGAGTAACCGACTCAAATGCAGCGTCCAGTCAAATCTGGACCTATGGGGATTTTAAGTGGAAAGTAATTTTGGGTTCCTAACTAATGCACGGCCCAAGCGGCAGCGCAAATGACTCACTAACGGCTGAGATATACTCCTCCAAACTGCACTCCAGGATGGTATTTTGTATGGGTTCATGACGCGGCACATACTCTCGCGCGAGGAGCTACGCGAAACTGATGTGTCGCGCCATGAATCTATGCGAAATACATCCTGGGGCCCACTTTGAAGGCGAATATCTCAGCCGCTAAACACCATCTGAACTGTCGGTTGGGCAATGTCTTGGTTAGGGTAAAATTCCTGTCCACGTGAGATCCCCATATGTCCAGCTTTGCCTGGATATTGTCTTTTAAGAACTTGGAAAAGAGGCTCTCTTGGAACAAAATTCAAGTATGCTTAGTTTCGAAGACATGAGCGCCCATCACATGGTTCAAACCAAAAAGTTATAAAAATACCAAAAGATCCGAAGAGATCATCAATTGGTACCTTGTAAGCGCCATCGTACTGAGCGACCTCTTCTCCGATAAGAAATACGCGATCATCACGCTTGATTTCCTCATCCATGGCCTGGTTCAAGGCGTCTCGCACAGTGATAGCTAAATGAGGTTTGGCATTCTACAACATCATAAATTTAGATCAGGAAGACTGAAACAAACAAACTACACTAGCTTACATTCGGCGGCTGCAGCAAAACTCCTCCTACTAGCCTTCAGTAGTTGGGAAACAGCAACCTGTGCACATGTTTTGAGAGCCATGGTTCGTTCTGGATATTACCTGAAATTGATAAAATTGATCGCGACTGAAAAGAAGAAGATAAAAATGCCACAAAAGAGCTAAAGATGCCATGACTCAATGTCTGGAATCATTATCACTTATCAGATTAGCAACGAAAAGCAACTGCATTGCATGATAACTGCTCTGTTGTCAAAAATATCGTAGCAAAATGAGGGATGGATCACTCAAACTGCAGCGTGCCTATAGAAATAGGACTATTCGCTGGAAACGAGGAAACGAACACTGAAGGTCGAAGAAAAGTTTCGATCAATTTCTGAGTCAACCAATGCGCAGAGAAAGCATTACGGCCAAAATCAGCTTTTTTGCGCTCTTTTGTTCAGCATAAGGCATTTCTAATCTAACAATAAGAATGGTAGAAAAATCAGATGCATAAATCCAAAAAGAGGCGAGCTACAAACTAAGCTATCAGTCTGAAATTACTAGACTGAAAAAAAGTGCCTTGACAATCATATCAGTCAATTCTTTTTCATCGATTAGTAAAAGATTAGTGAAAGTATGGGTTTTATTAGCATAAGAGCGAGCACGAGTCTCCACGAGCCTCATAAAGTTGCCTATAATTGAGCAATTCTATAGAACAAGATAACGACAAAACGAATGACACATTCAATTTTTGTTCAAACACAATTAGAGTCAAAACTTCTAGTGCTTTTTTTCATCCAGGGGCTTTACGCACATCACCCCTATAGTACTCACGCACTGAGCAAATCGATGCAGAGCGGAGCTCAGACACAGCGCTCGAATCAGCTTACATCGGAATATGTATAACATTATCATATAAAGTTTTAAGATGCTATGAAGCAAGATTTATTAGTGATTTCAGTCAGTTGTATTTTCAACCGTTGTAATGCTGAGAGCACGAGTATTTCAAAATAGAGCCTATTTCTCAATTTTAGAACCTACATTCAGTGCGCTTCGATGTCAATGGTAGGCAAAATTCACTCTAACCCCAAACCGTATACCTACCATAATTCAGCAATGAAACGCTAGTGCAATGACTACGGTAGTCACGATCAATATACCAACTGTCCCATATGTATTTCTGAGTGAGCTTTTGAAGTACAGAACCTAGGATGCAACCAAAAGCCTTTTATCGGGGTAAAAACGGAAGAACAATATTAGATTTTTGGAGCTTTGTTGCCACATTGCTATTCTACGTAATCTAAAAAATAAATATGAAGACGAGAGGAGTAGCAGCAGCGTAGACTCGCCACCCAGAAATATTACAGATCAAGATTTCACGGTTCGGCATGATAGAAGAAGGATCAAAATCACTAGATGAATTTAAAAAACTATGAAAAAACTCGTAACAGCAAAAAAAGAGAGCTAGCACCTAATAACTTCCTAAAAACAGCTGGATAAATCGAAATGAAGCGCAAATTTGCGGCTGTCAGGTTGAATGCGGGCGCTGCGTACTTCACCATCTACCGTATAGAAGGAGGCAGACGTGCAAAATGCGCTGTAAGAAAGTTCTTATCACATAATTCCACTTGCAGCTGACGGAAATTGAATGTCACATGCTTTTCATTATCAAACATCTCGACTTGTGACAATTTTAGAATAGTTTAAGAATTTGGTGTGAAGAAATGACTCAATTTGTGCGCGTTTGGATGTGTTGCCATGGCGATAGGAATGTGAATCTGGCGTAAAACGGAGGAAGACAGTATTTCAATCTCCCAGTCATGTCTTATCGAGAGTTAAGAAGTAAGTTTGACCAGCTGAGAGTTGTGGAAATAGTAATTTGCTTCAAGATCTCTGTGAAATGACCCGAGCCATCGGTTATCCCCGCATACTTTCAATGGAGAATTTTCGTACGCCAAATTTCAAACTCGTTGCTGAACTGCTTGAATGGATTGTTAAGAGGTGCAGTCATATTTGTATATATACCTAGGGCATAAAAAATGCAAAACGAATATTTTAGGTTTGATCCTAGCGCAACGATCAGTGCCGAGCAGACTGCTACTGAACAGGACCGAGTTCTCTTCATAAAACAAGCAGTTCTACTTTTGCTGCAAAATTCAAGACTCAAGCTGAATCCTCGAAAACTTTATCAAGTGAGTGTTTCATCTTCCTTGCTAACATTTCAACCAGCATTCAAAATCATTCTGTGAGTGTCAAAATTTCAAAGCTTATTTCGAGAAAAGCAAGCGTAAGAGCAAGAGATGAGAAAAGTTTTGAAGATTTCGTGTTTGTCCGTCAAAGTGTAAGACTGCGTAGTAAACGTGATTTTTTTTTCTCAGATAAATGATTAGCTCTGTAGAATAACCATTAGCCCTCGTGCTGAAAAGCTTCATTTATTACTTCCTGCTGAACAATCAGTTCCGGAAGAAACACTTTGCAGTGTACAGGTACTGCTACGCCCACGAGCTGGAGAAAATTTTCTAAAGATTATTCAAGATTTTCAAAGATAGAGTATTGGCCCTATGACAGTATGATGCGATAGAGAACTCGACAATCTAAAAATCTTATCAAGCCACATATATTCTGAAACTATGCTATGAAAATAACTTCAAATAAACAACAAAAATGAATAGGAAGAGTATTTCGTAAAGTAACATGTACGAGTGGATCAAAATAAAGACGCAGAAGCTTTCTATCTCAAAAATTAAAATTTCACACGGGTTAGCCAGCAGCAGAAATTGGGATTTTCTGTTGATTTTCTATTGATTTGAAGCGACGATACAAAAAATGCTATCACTTCAGCAAGAGATTATTTCTCATGTGATGGAAATGACTAATTGCCAACGAAAGCGCTACACAGCAGTCTTTGTCGAGTGGAGAATTGTAGAAAAAATTTAAATCATAATAGAATTCATAAAATGCATGTATTGGAAATCTATGTAAATCGTGTGCATTTGCGTTCACTGTTTCACTCAACAATATCCTACAAGGAAAGCATGTTTAGCCGAAGTGGCCTTCTTAGATGGAATGCATACCATATTGTAGGGCATAAAATGCTGACTCTAAATCTGTTTTCCTTATCTGCAGTACGTTTATGTACGGGGAGTTATGAGCGCTTATTGGAAAAATTGGATGTGCAAGTAATGCAAGCAAAAATTGGATGTGCAAGTAGGACAAAAATAGCTGTAATACTTTTTCCAGCTCTTCAATGGAACAGTGATAATCATTAGAGAAAATACTTTGAAATAAAAAAATTTATCACTCTTGGTTGCAATATTTGAAGGCTTCGAAGGTAAGATTCTAGCAATTTATTTTATCCAAAATGCACATTCAATCTTTGGCTCAAAAAAAAAACGCTCACAACTCCTCGTCAAAGAAAAATCTGCAGATAAGATAGGCAGGTTTGGGATCAGCGCTTTATGCCCTTTGATTTGGTATACATCTTATTTAAAAAGGCCGTATTGACTGAACAAGCTTCCCTTATTAGAATGTAATAATTTATTTCCTGCAATATTTGAGCTGAGGAGACATTGACACATCAATCTGCCAGCGTTGCTTTAGTTTTCTAGAAGATTACCTCGCCTAGCAAAATTGGAAATAATTTAATTTTTTCTGTAGAGACAACTCTCTGAAATAAACCTCATTAATTTTGCATAGAAATGTAATGAGCAAACTCCGAAGTGAACTTAAACATGAAATATGCAAAAAAAATTTTTTTTACAAAAGTGAATGTATATAAAAATACTATTATGAAAGTACCGATTATTTGCTGTATCAAAAAACAAAATTGCCTCGGTAAAGATGCGCGCAGGAAAGCGAATAAAGCAGTTTTCCAATTAAATAAATAAAACGAATCGATTGCTACTTGAAAGACTGGAATAGAATTCATTGTGAAAACCATTCACGTTATTTGCATAGAAAAAACATAAATTGAGCCGATCATTGCTGAAGCGCGATCGGTTTCTCACAATACACTAATGTAAAACCGGCTCGCATCTGTTCGGAGTCATAACTTTTTTGCTTCTTTCTCTCCGTTATTGATTGCACAATCTAGGATTATGAATATGCCTGTTGATAGTGATTTGTGGCAAAAGAGTTTTGACCTAATGGACAATCCATAGCCCTTATGAATCGCTACAGGCTTTTCTTTGGTAAAAAATGAAAAAAAAGTTATCGAGGTATCGATCATCCCATTAAATGTGACTCACTCTTTATTCAATGAGGTCGACGTACTCTTCACTGCCACACAGTAGAATAGATCCTGAATGTTGAGACAGTATAGGGAATATGTGAGAAAAGGGGCGAAAACGACCCTTTAGAAAATGAGAGGTTTGGGATTTATTTTTATGTCGTAAATCAAACTAACCTGTATGGAAGTGCATCTTCCAGTTGTATGGCCCAAAGAAGCCAACAGCATGGCGAAAGTAGCCGAACACAGTTGCTTGAACTTAAGAGCTAAAATCAATTTTAGCGAAGTAAAAATGCAAAGGAGACAACTGACACAGTAGATAGTGGCGGCGACGAAATGGAAGGAAAAATGAAAATTTGAAGTGAAAGTTGTCAATCTATATTTATAATACCAGGTACAATCCATTGATGTGAGCTTTTTGCAAGGTCTTGCTGGTTGCACGTTGATTGCAGATGGTAAGTACAAGAAGAAATAAAGAATGAAAAAATTCTGAAATGGTGAACGGTAGCCCTTTAGTGCAAATGCTTTCTTTGTTTTAAGTGTAAACAGCTTACTGATTTTGCCACAATATGGAAATAAAAAGACCTTTCTTTTACGGATAGACAAAAAAACAATAAAAACTTTTGTTTAGTCATCTTCGTGGCGAATCGAGCACATCAGGTAAATCGCCTTTTTACTGTAATCAGTACTCTACTTGATCTGCTTGAAACTTTTAAACAGATCAGACCACCAGACTTCTATACCGGTCTACAAATGCCAAAACGCGTCCAATTTTTTGCTTCCATTTTGATTTACTTATTTTTGATTTATCTGCATATTTTTTTAAGGAGAGGGCGTAACAATCTTTAATCTAATAGCTGCTTTGACACATTGTAATAGTGCAATTTTCTTGAAAAAAAAAAACCCTAGCATTTATCCATCTGCCCTTAGTACTATTATACAAGGGGAGGGTGGCTAAGGACTTTTATCTCCAATGTGCTTCTGCAACTATGCTTCCTATTTAACCAACTACAGTGACCGCCATAAAGTTGCGGACAAGCCTCCCTCCCTTTTTCATCGCTCTTTTTCATAGAGAAAACAAGGATGAAAACATGTAATAATTGCATGAGGTGATAGAGCTCTTCAAGATCTACACTCTACACTTTGAGTTTTTTGAGAAACACGTGTTCTAAAAATTTTAAGAATCCTTTTCTAAGAAAAGTTCGAAATTGGCCGCGTCACAATGTCGCGGACACTAATTCTTCGAACGCAAAAATTTTCTTTTGAGTCCTAGTTTGAAGCGGAAACACAAGTTATCCGGACGGGTAAGCATACTACTATACAGAGCTCGTCAAGAACTACACACTGGTTATGGTTGCTTCCTCAAAAAACGCAAGCTTGAGTTTTATTTTGCTTTTTTCAAAAAATAACTTCTAATTTCCTTTAACAAGCCAAATTTCTTCATCCGGAAACCTGTTCAAGACATCCCAACAAAGCCGCCTGGATAAAATAGATGCTCTTTGCCATCCTTTATGCATCGGACATGTGCTGATGAGTTTTTTTTGCTGAAAATGGTTCTTGGCAGTGCTTGCACATGACCCCACCTGCACCTCACCACTGACTTGCACCGTTTTGCAGGCTTGTAACTCGGCCTGCAGTCAATATTTGAGCCTGCGATTAGGCTTGTTCGAAAGAACGAGACTTCCTCTACACGATAGTATGCAAATAAGTTCACTTTGAGCAGAGATTTGGCGGATGGGGTGGTAGAGGGCAGCTTTAGTTGTAGTCTAAGCACTTTTCGGCTAAAGATGAAGAGAGTTCCTTTCGCTACCAGTTTCATCTTGGAAGTTCAAAACTGTCAATATTCTTGTAATAGATCCATTTCGAAGCTCTAAGACTGTTCTGGTGTTCATAAGAGCTTTTACTCCAATCACCTTTAAGGCTGCACTTTTTCACCCCATCCGCCAATTCTCTGAAATTTCTCATACTCAACTCATTTGCATATCATCGTGTCCAGGAACTCACGCTCTTTCGAATGAGTCTACCTGCAGACTCTTATAGTGTCTGGCGGCCGAGTTACAAGCCTGCAAAGCGGTACAAGTCAGTGGTGGTGCAGGTGGGGTCATGTGCAAGCACTGCCAAGGGCCATTTTCAGCAAAGAAACTCATCAGCACACGTTCGGTGCATAGAGGATGGCAAAAAGTATCTATTTTATCCAGGCGGCTTTGTTGGGATGTCTTGAACAGGTTTCCGGGTGAAGAAATTTGGCTTGTTAAAGGAAATTAGAAGTTATTTTTTGAAAAAAGCAAAATAAAACTCAAGCTTGCGTTTTTTGAGGAAGCAACCATAACCAGTGTGTAGTTCTTGACGAGCTCTGTATAGTAGTATGCTTACCCGTCCGGATAACTTGTGTTTCCGCTTCAAACTAGGACTCAAAAGAAAATTTTTGCGTTTGAAGAATTATTGTCCGCGACATTGTAACGCGGCCATTTTCTGACTTTTTTTAGAAAAAGATTCTTAAAATTTTTAGAACACGTGTTTCTTAAAAAACTCAAAGGGTAGAGTGTAGACCTTGAAGAGCTCTATCACCTCATGCAATTATTACATTTTTTCATCCTTGTTTTCTCTTTGAAAAAAAGCGATGAAAAAGGGAGGGAGGCTTGTCCGCAACTTTTTGGCGGTCACTGTATATCCCGGTTGTCCCATTATTAGGTTGGAAGGAAAAGAATGTCGTTTTTTACATCAAAGAAACAGGACGAATCCGAAAAAATATGTGAGGGGTATCAATCTATAGAGCAAATCAGGCTCTACAAGATGATTTTTGAATATTGACTTAAGTCATGGTTTAGGCAAAGTTTGAAGCCAAAACCGAGCAACCCATAGTGCCAAAATTCGGATCCGCCCTAAAATTATGCCACAACCTTTCAATTACTTCTGCATGTAGCAGACATATACACATATCCATATGTGCACTTGCCAATTTTCCGCAATTAGAAATCAAGAAAAAATTGAAAAATAAAGAATGGCGAACTCCGCCCCTAATAGTTTTGAGCTCCTCCCATTTATGCGTTGTATACTGCAAACCTTACAGAATTCCATAAAATTTTGGACTTGGGTATACCCTAGTTCCTGAGAAATACCATTTTAGCTGAAAACCCAAAAAAATGCAATATTCTTTTCTTTTAACCTAATTCTAAAAAAAAATTTCCCTGGAGCACTGCCAATGCACGTGACTGTTCCTAGGTTTTGATTGTTATTGTTTCATTTTGAGTAGGGAAGGGAACTTATGTGAAGAGTAGCGCAGTCGTATACCTCTCCTTTTTTCTTCAATTTTTTCATGGTGAAGTCAAACTTCGGATACGTAGTTGACCGCACATAATTTTAGGCGGACGGATATGCTGTACAAGAACTGTTGCCAGCTGTAAAGTTGCTCTATGAAGCAGGAAAGCAGTCCTCACCAGAGGATATGCACGCTCATTGGAACACTATAAAAGCGAAGTTGAATGCAAAAGTGAGAAGACTGTAACTTTGCTCCATTGCGTTTAGTTACTGATTCTATAGGTACAAGAAATTCGAGTGGCAAGGCAGCTGTCTACTCAACTACCTCAGACTGGAGCTGCATTGCATGAGCTACTTGGGAAAGAACTTTACTACAGAGTAAGTCGATCTATTCCGGCTGACTTGCAAAGAAGGCACAAATAGTCAGAGAATTTTTATAAGCTTTTAGCCTCTAGCATTCATCCAGGATGGGCACCAGATAAATTTTACAAAGCGTTTCATCGCATACGATGCTGCCCTCTAGCATATCGTTTCATAGATTAGACTATTTCTAGCCTATATCTTTTTTATTTTCCGTCTTCCGAGCAATTTGAGAGAATTAGGCTTTTGCGAATGATTGTTCAACGAAAATATTTTCTGAAAAATTGGAGTTTGATCAAATTTCAGCAACAGCGTAACAGAGCGACTTCGCGAGCTATTCCTCTGGCTGAAGCAGAGAAGACTGTACAAAAATCTATTGAAGCAATAGTCTCAGACACAGCAGACATCACGGTAAATCAAACATTCAAAAATTGACTTTCACCTCTTTACATGGCAGTCTTCAAATTGCAGAGTAAATTGAGTAATGTAGCAAACGACGAAGCAGCTCTTGATGAGAAGATCGAACGCAGAAAGAAAGAATACGAGCAGATGCAAAAGCGCTATGTGAAGTTACAGGTTTGCTGACAATTTATTTTCAAGCAAAAGAAAAAAATATCCGCATAATTCCGCCTTTCAGTCTTTTCGACCACAGTATATGGATGAGTACGAAAAGCTTGAAGCTAAGCTAAAGGAGCTCTATGAGGTGCTCATTTTGCAAGTTTTTATCAGCAAAAAATATAAGTTTCTAGATATACGTCGTAAAATTTCGAAACTTGACCTATCTTCAACAGTTACAGCTGGAGATGGAAAAAGCAGATAGACAGAAGCAGGTTGTCCATTTCACGATCGTTTAATTTTTCTACTTCAGCTTCTAAATTTAGGCAGAATCTGAGAGGAATATGCGACAAGTGGTCGAGAAGATGCGTATGGAACTTAATTCTCAGTAAGTAAAGCGTTTATCAATTCCTTTCTCTCATATTTCTGAATTTTAGGGACAACATTACTGAAGATGAGGTGCCACCAATCAATCAGGAAAGGAGAAGTTGTAAGTAGTGTGACATTATCTTGATGAAAGTTGGATTTGTTTGGATTTCTTTTTCAAAATGGAAAAAACCCTTCAAAATTGCTTTTTTTTTCTAGCAAAACGAGTATTTGGAAATATGACCGGTGCCGGTATGTCCGATGATGATGAAGACGACGAGAATGAAGCCGCTGAGGTGAACACTGACAGCGGAGATGAAAAGGAAAAATCGGTAAGCATCCGCATTTTTGCTGCTCCTTTCCATTCATCTTTTTTTCAGGTTCATGACGAAGAAGAGAAGCTCGATTTGAGCAGTGGCGATGACTTCTGAGCAATTTGATGATTATTCATCATGATCAAGCTAAAAGTGCTACTTTTTCGTCTATGATAGTGTCCAAAATTTTGCGCACTTTATGCGCAAGCCATCCAGAGGTTTCGTCTTTTTGAAGATAAAATTTTTCTCTTCATCCCTTCTTCGATTCTTACATAGAAAGATTGAATCTGCCGTAAAACGTGTCGAACTCCACTAGAAAGGGCCATCAGGCATTTCGAATGTTCTCGATTAAATATGGGCCGACACGATATGACAGTACAAAGGGTTTCGGAGAGTTCTTATACTGGCTTTGAATGGTATTCTTGAACTTCTTCTCAGTGAAAGGGGAAAACCTCATGATTACTCATCGCCGTGACAAAATGAAATTTGTTTTACGGCGCATCTTCATACCGCGTTTGAATAACAAAGTTTCCCTCTGAAAAACACAGCATCTGAATTACATCCAGTTGTGAGTTGTGCAATCCGCTCTTCTCAGACATCGCCAAATGGCGGTGCTTACTTCATCTGAGTTGGAGAAGAAAAGATATGGAAGTGTATACAACCCAGTTTTGGTAGCAGACATCCCTCCTAATAGTTTGGGACACATTCTTGTTTGAAATCGCATGTACGACCGCAATTGCACTGCGCCAAACTGGCTAGTATGTCTTACAGCAAAGAATGGCGACTGCATGAGCAAGAATCGTCTACCTCATCTCAAGCAAGGATTGCGGCGCATAATATATGGGTGAAACAGCACGCCCCTCATGCGTACGCATCAAAGAACATCTCAATGGCAAAGGAAGATTACACCGCCCACAGAGTGCAAGAGGATGAAGGAGTGAATTTTCAAGTAAATGTAGAGATCCTGGCGCGTGAACCTCAAATGTCTACTCGCAGGATAAGACTCGAGTTCGGAGCGAAAAAGGGGGGTCTACCAAGCCTGAAGTTCGCTTCAAAAGTGGCCCGGATCTTATGTTAGGCCCGAATGCCGCCGCTCAGCGATTTTAGAACTGGAAGGCCAGAGCATGCATAGTGCACACAGTCATGAGTGCAGGGTCCCACAACGACTCTGCGTCTCTACCTTGCATGCATCTCGTACTCGCCCGAGTCTATCGTAAGATCCGGGCCACTTGGGGGGCGATTTGTAATTTGGGCTACTTTAACATCGCGCAAAAACCCGGCACCCATATTTTTGCCGGGAAGTTGCTTTCAAGCACTCAGCAATACAAACGGAAACATCTTGGATTGCCACAATTAGTGTCAACTATCTAAAAGAATTTGTCTCTTCTTCGAATCGCCTATTTACGACTCAGGATTTCAAAGTAAATAATGTAGTTTGCATGGTGAACTTACAAGGGAATGGTCAAAAGAAATGGCCAATCCAAACAAGCTGCATATCGTTCGATGCATCATAAAACGCTGTTTTCAAATATGTCTTTCGTATCTGCAGAACGCTTTTGTAGGTGAAGTCAAGAGCAGCTTTACCACGAAAACTGCGAAATTAGAGTGCCTTCATACTGCGCCGTCAGCCGCCGCTAGCAGCCCGTAGCAGCCGCCGGCCGCTGTCATAGAAGCGCATAATCACCAAATTCTTACTGCTTTGAGTGCGCCCGCCCATGCTTTCCATCTTCCACACTTCTTTCTTCCTATTGCCGCTATTGTGCAGTTCTACACTCACACATTAAGAGTTAATCAAGATAAGCACCGGCCAAGGATATGATTGAAGCAGAACCAGACTCAAAGAATAAACTAATAGCCTACCTGCAGAAACTGGACGCATCCAAAGTCAGAAGAAATCACATTGCGAAGAAACTTTGGCGAAATATGGCCCAACTGCGAGAGGAAACTGAGCACCAATAGGATATCAATCTACGGCAACAAGATTCTAACAATATGGTCACAAGTATGATATATGAGATCGAATTGCGACAACAGGAGGAAAAAAGCGTGGAAGATGGAAAGAGTGAGCGTTTGCACTCAAAATATTAAGAATTTGATGATTTTGCGCTTCTATGACGTTAGCGGCCAGCGGCGGCTAACGGCTGCTGACGGCTGCTATGGGCTGCCAGCGACGGCTACGGGTGCTAGTGGCGGCTGCCGGCGCGGTATGAAGGCACCCTTAGGCGCACTAGTGCTCTTTTAGCTCACCTCTAGGTACGGGCCATATGTAGTGAACTAGTTGCATGTTTTGGTCCAGCACTGAGCCGAGTATAGCTCTTACGGCCAAGCTTGCCCTTTGTGCGTACGATTTCTCACCAAGTTAATGGCCTTTAATGGCTTATAATTTTATCCACAGGAATGTTCTGCAAATAAAGAAGTCAAATTTAGAGTCAGCGTTCCACGCTGGATCTGAAGGTATGCAGCCTGCTTGAATTGGCCACTTCGTTTCTGACCATTCCATTATTGGCATGGAGAGAAATTCCACAAATAGTACTGATAAGAGAAACACAGTTTAGGGTGATAAGTTGCCGTATAAAAGGAAGAGCGACTTTCATTTTAATTCACTCATGTAACGACTGCTTCTTACTCTTGTATGGATGAAGATCTGGCTGTACCTACTATGTGCAACACCAAAATCTCTATCAGTTGCAAGTAAGGGTAATGTCAGTTGACTATTTACTGATCAAAAAACTACTTCTTTCAAAGGATCACCGCAGAAAACTACAGTGGCAACTAAAATCGTTACGAAAGCTACTATGTCATCACTTAAGTCTTCCGCTACCATTGTGCCGCTGTGTAAGTACTTGTCATCTTGAATGACCAGTCAAAAAAAGTCTAGCTTTAGACACTACTAGCAATCTCTTGACTGTGTCTGCATCTATGTCTGAGACTTCTCTGAGAGCGCAAAAAGAACTTACGTAAGCACCTCTGGTGTTTTGATGTGAAAATTGCAAGTGAGATAGCGCCTTAGGCCCCGGACAGACTTCACACGATTTGATCGCCGCGACTCAATCGCCGACATTTCCATTCATTTTCATTTCACATTAAAAAATTTCGGGTTGGAAAAGTATCACAACCGAAATGCAAGTTGATCGGCATGGAATGATGTTGTAACAGTTGTCTCGTCGCGATTCAGTCGCGACGATTAAGTCGCGTGAAGTCTGTCCGGGGCCTTACAATAAATGCAAAAAAAGGGATGAGTTTTCTCTTCTGCCCTAGAAGCATGGCTCGCGAGATTTTGATGCTATTAAATGCGGGATCCCTAATTAAGCAATCTCTTAAGTTTCACTCAAGAGATGGATTCCAAAGCGAGAAAACCGCTCCACAAGGTAGAAGCCGCTCAGGTGGCTCTGCCCATCAATTTGGTGATCTGAAAACAAATTCAAACTTGTGCATTAGAGTAAAGAAATGTCGAAAATCTGATAGTCATAACGGCGGATTTATGGCAATTTTATAGACGTTGAAGCTCACTTCTGGACTTGTTACTCAAGCTGAATTAGTATCCTATCTTCAGACCACCCACGCTGATGCGCGGAGCAACCTGGGCCCTTCTAATTTCTGGAGCGGTTTTCTCGGTTCGGAATCGGTCTTTTGCAGCGGGATTTGTGCGATTAGTCATGTCAGTAGCAAAGCTACTTTAAATTAGGTGGACGGAGCCTTTCAATTCTTGATCTTTTCGTGTGGTTGTCCAGAAGCGTTGCATTTTGTTGACTTTGCTGTCATTTGTCGTTAGACTAGAGAAATTAATGAACCATTTTCAGCGACAATGCATCTCTTACGCTGCTCATTGTTGCCGCCGCCATGCTGCTCATTTTGAGCGCTCAACTATTGTTCATCAACCTGTTGCGGTGCAGGCTTCGGCGGCATTATAATCAATGTGTTGAAGAAATCAAAAAACTTGTCAAGCAGATGTACGCAACCAACTTGGAATCGTCGACGGACAAAGCTGGTGCTCTTGGTAACATCGTGATAACGGCGACGCCAAATGCGCAGTCAACGATGGTGACACTGACAGTGGGTACGGGAGCAGCTGTGAACCCTCCTAGAGGATCTGTCATGAAAGAGGCTATAAGAAAGCTCAAAACTTTAGCGATAAGTCTGAACGACGAAGCAGCGGGTCTGCATGGCCTACAAAAGAAAGGAGGCGCAATTCCAGGAGATAACCTTGCAGATACTTTGGAGAAGCGCTTGGCTCCTAAAGAGAGAATAATGCCAGGATCAAAAGAAGGACTGAACTTTGAAAAGAAACAGAAATTTGTCATACCCTTGCAGAAAAACGATAAAAATGGAGTTATCGATAAAAATAAAGAGAAAGATAAAGGCGAGGATTTGCCACATGGCCCAGAAGTTGTCAAAGTAAAGTTCCAAAAACAAAAGTTGCTACCATCCACTCCCGTTGAGCCGAGTGCTCTGAAGAAAGATGAGCATTATTTTTCAGTGAGGAAAGAGAAGACAGAGCTGGTACCCGGCCAGAAGTCTCACAAGCAAAAACTGCCATCTCCCGCTCCTGTTGAGCCGAACACGCCGAAAAAAGACGAACATTATTTCTCAGTCAGGAAAGAGAAGCCAGAGGTTGCAGCACCTGAGCAGAAGTCTCGCAAGGAAAAGCTCCCACCTCCTGCTCCTGTACCGACTCCAAAGAAAGACGAACATTATTTCTCAGTCAGAAAGGAGAAACCAGAGGTTGCAGTACCTGAACAGAAATCTGATAAGCAAAAGTTGCCACCACCTCCCTCTCCTCTCGAGCCAAATAAGCAAAAAAAGGAAGAGGATTTCTTTTCGCTTCCCAAAGCGAAGACTTAGATCATGCAATCAAATTAACATCCCATACATAATTTACGCTTAAATTGTAAATAAATGTGCATTGGTTTATGCAACGGAATTGGTGAGATGACAGACGAAACCTGAGATGTAAGCTGAGAAAGCACCATTTGATAACACTTATTATGATTCAAGTTCTTGTGACAGTTCCTAAGTTGCTTAAGTTGAGTAGGGAAGCCAAGAAAAGAAGGCAAGCAACAATATTGAGCTCCACAACATCTTCTTCGAGCAGGCGTTTCCGACATGTTGTCATTATCCATCAACGTCCTTTCAAAGTCCTGAAAAGCCCGCGATGACCGTAAACTAGAAACTCTTGAGGTAGCTACGCTGCTGTAGCTTGCTGTAGAAGTCTAGTGTGGGTGTTCGTCGAAAGGCGCCCCAGAACCGTCATTCAGAATGTGTTCGTACTCCACAGAAGCAAGTCCCCGAGCTCCGAAAATGTTGTTAACATTTAGCATGTGCATAGATTTCGGGAGTCGAAAGTATCAAAACGAATGTTTTTCCTACTTCTCTCAGTGTCACACAGCCAATCCACGCCTTTCGTTCATCGCCCGTCTTGGTGGGAGCCTCTCGGAATTTAGCTATTAGGTTGTCAAGGAAATAATCTCGGTTTTTATTTGCTTGCTTTAACAAAGCAACCAGACTCAACCCTACAAAGGATAAGGGGCATTGTTCGATAGAGCAAAGCAAGCTCTACAAGATGGCATTCAAGATTTTGCGCCAAGCTCGATTCACGGAGAGTTTGAACTCATAATCTAAAGATTTCCAAATGGTCAAAAAATCGAAAAAAATCAGATCTCCGTTCAAATAATTTCTACGGACCTCCCACTCGCTCACGTCGATACTTTCCTGATATCCATATGTGAGATTGCTGTATTTTTTCCTTGACTAGAAAGTGAGAAAACGAAAAGTTCCCTGATTTTCTCAAAGCAATGCTGAGCCGTTTTTGCATATGTAGTTCTATACTACAAGCCTACGTAAGCATAAATGTAGGTTTTCAGCCTATTTCGAGCGGTACTTTTTGAGAAATGTCGATTTTAGCACTGAAACTGAGAAGAAAAAATCCGAATTCGATATTTTTCGAAAACTACCGCTAGGAATGGGCTGAAAATCTACAGTTATACTTAACTAGGCTTGTACTATAGAACTACATATGCAAAAGCGGCTCAGCATTGCTTCGAAAAAATCAAAGAGATTTTCGTTTTCTTAGTTTCTAGTCAAGGAAAAGACACAGCAGTTGCACATATGGATATCAGATATCGAAAGTATTGAAGTGAGCGAGTGGGATCCGTAGAAATTATTTAGACGAAGATCTGATTTTTTTGATTTTTTGGGCATTTGGAAATCTTTAGATTTTGAGTTCGAACTCTTCGTGGATCGAGCTTGGCGCAAAATCATGAATGCCATCTTGTAGAGCTTGCTTTGCTCTATCGAACAGTACCCCTTACCCTTTGTTGGGTTGAGTCTGTTTGCTTTGTTGAAGCAAGCATATAAAAACCGACATTATTTTTTGATTTTTTTCGATTTTTTGGGCATTTGGAAATCTTTTCTTGACAACCTAATACAATTTATCTAACCAGTATATAGGGTATATGTAAGGTGCCGCAAAGTATGCGCGTTACATCCACGAATGTAAACCTGTCATTAACACGTTTCGGACCGGTGCTGCACATGGTGCAGCACATGGGTTTGAAGAATCTTTCAACGTTCACAGGAGGTTTTCTTTTTGTCCAAACTTATCACGTCACAAGCCCGAGTTCCTCCCTTTTAGAGGGCTATGTAGAGCTGTGCCGCCGTTATTTGTTCAGGAGATATGAGGACTCGAACAACAGTTGCAAAGAAGTGCCGCAACGTGAACGACGCGAGCGACGTCGCAATTTTTTATTGCTTCAATTTTAAGTAAAAAAAACCATAGTTTTAATAATGATGTGTACCGTGTACAACATAGATACTTTTGGATACTATTAGAAACTGAGTTCTTGTTCCTATCTTTCAAGAAAGCACAGAAGTCCTTCTTGAACGACAGAATTCAAACACTTTGAATTCACGCAGAACTTTGAGTGCGGAGTCTTTCTGACATGCTGATTACAGATGTGGAATACAGTCTACGAAATAAGGTCCTTTTGTTGGCTAACGGGTGATACACTCTTTTTCGCAGCGCGCGATTTCGCGGTCCGAAATGTGTTGAACATTAAATTCTGATTTTTATTATGTCCTATCACAAACAAAGCTTGAATATTGACATCTAAAGAAACTCTGTCCTTGAAGCAGGCCCGGGGTCCTGTTTTCACAGAAGTGACCGTGCGGCGCAGTTAGTCAGCATCGCCTTTAGTCCAGACACCTTTCAATTTGTAGGGCAGTCACTCCAGACTTGTGAAATTCTTCCCCGTAGACTGTACTCTAGCACTCCACACACAAAGGAGTCCAGCGGGTTCAAATCAGGACTGTTGGACGGCTAAAGATCTGTGGTCAGTTTTCCTTTAGGTTAGTGAAGGGTACTTTGATGTCGACATCGCTGATTGCGCCGGCCCAACCTTGCGGCAATATCATTTGTGGATAACTTCTTTTCAAAACGCCTTCTTTGTACTTTTCAAAACTCCTTCTTTGTACACAGTGGCGCCGATGTTGACATTCGGCATGAAAACAAGCGGCGTTCTACCGTACCGTCCGCTGATTTCTAGCCAAACCATCGAACTAAGAGGTTATCTATCCTTCTGATTGTTTACCTGACGGTCATTCTAGGGACAGCTGGTCTGCCCGACTTTTCCCGGATAAAAATATGGGCGACAAACCGTAGAGCATACACTGCGGATAAACAGATAATAGCACGATTAAGTAACTTGGCGTCCGTTGCTAATATGAGATTCATTTTTTGTAGTGCTTTGCCGCTAACCGGCTACTCCATTTCCACTTACATTGCCTGACACTATTTTTTGTGAAGTGCAATGCTTTGGCCTTGCGCACTCTTCTCGCGCAGGCTCAATTATGACGAAAGTAAGTGTGTTCTCGTTATCCCTGCTATATGTTATGTATATAGCGCGAACACATATCTCTGAAACCTTCTCTTACACCTTATTCATGACAATGAATATAGCTTCTTGAAATGTTTGGTTGATTAACTAACAAACAAAATCAGAGCCTTCAGTTCTCGCAAACGCTCTTCCAGCAAAAAATAAAATAACGCAATAGGATCAATATCGTTTGGGGCTCACCGGCATCATAATAGTTGTTCCAACTTGCATTAACGCCATTTGCATCATAACGTCAATGTATTAGGCTGGAAACTAAGTTTTGCAACTGGTTTCATAACTTCACTCTCTTTGGATATGGCGCACTCAAACTTTGATATTATGTAGAAGGCAATGTGAGCTACAAGCGAGCACAAATTGTCTAAATTTTGAGCACGAAATAGAAAAGTTTCAGGGGCGTTTTTCGAAAGCTAGCGAAATTTGAGAAATTTTGGGGTTTCAAGCTAAAATGAAGCCTTTGGCAGCCTAGACCATGCGCAGTAATCAGGATTCGTCTACAAATTATTGCTGGAGGTTGACTCTTTTGGTCTATTAAGAAAGAAACAAAATTTAAGGGCATGTCGAGATTTGGCGTCCTCAAAAATTCGAAAGAGTCGATGTACGCAAGAGCTGCTGGGACGACCGTCAATGACTAAAGAGTCCGAAGCTCAAATTCCGCCGAGACTTTACATATTAAGGTTATTTGACCTGCCAAACGCGAATATCACATTCATTTGTTGAATCAACGCCTTTTTCCTTGTTCAAGGTGAGACCCCATATCGTACACCTACAGTAATCCTACAAAAAAGCCATTATCACGCAATTTCACTATCATTTTCGTGATCGGCATGTCGGATAACACCCCTATGCCAAGTTTCAGCCAAATCCGTCAAACTTTGGATTTTTCGCCTTCATACCATGCACCTACCGTAACCCTCACTGCGACGTCAGAAT